TTTCCCCCCCATTATCCTTAAATTCTCCCTTTAGCTTTCCTTGTCCTGCTGCTCCAGGAATTGGACCTAAAGCCGGGCCACGGAGGATTCTCCATCACGCGGGAACAGGTCCCGCCAACGCCTCTTTCATCACCCAGAGGGATTTGCATGGTGATGAGACAACCAGGTAACTTTTGTTTTCTAATCCCTGCGCTTGCCTGAGCAGCAAAATCAGGGAAAGGAGGGAATTCCTAATAATTTCCAGCTCAGAGGAGGTTTTAAACGCAGCCCCAACTCCACGCCTGTCCCCTGTGGGAATCTGGCTTAGATTTGAAAGCCTGGAGATGTGGAAAGGGAAAGCAAAGATCTAAAGGAATGTTTCAGTGGGAGGTTGTTTGGGCAGAGGATGGTGGAGGAGGGAGAACCCGAGCCCGAAACCTGCGGAGGTTGGAGGTGTCGAACCTGCTCACAGGAGCAACCTCAGAGCAGGGCAGATGAAAGCCCCGCAGACACGGCTTTGATCTCGTGGGGAGGAGAGATTCCCATCTCTTCCCTTAATGAGAAGGCTCCGCTGGAGCTCCTCAGCCGGCCGGGATTCACCTCCAAAGGGACGTTTCTGCACCGGTGGGGAAGTTCCTCCCGGTTTCCACCTCGCCTGGTTTCCACCCCGCCCTCTCACCTTGTCGATGAAGGAGGCGAACTGGTTGTTCAGGGTCTTGATCTGCTCCTTCTCCTGGGTTTTCACCTGCTGGATCTGGGGGTCGATCTCCACGTGGACGGGCCGGAGCAGGGTCGAGTCGATCTGCACCGGCTGGATGCCGGGGCCGGCTCTGCCTGGGCCACCCATGACAAAGCCTGGGCCACCAAAGCCTGGGCCACCAAAGCCTGGGCCACCATAGCCACCGCCGTAGCCGCCCACCCCAGCACCGAAGCCCCCCATTCCTCCGCCGCCTCCCATCCCTCCGAAGCCGCACATTCCTCCTCCTCCGCCGCCCATCCCGCCCCCGAAGCTGCCGAGCCCCCCGTAGCCGCCGCCGAAGCCGCCCATCCTGCCGCCGTAGCAGCCCCCCATGGATATCCTGGCACTGCTCCCCAGCCCGTGGAGGCTCCTGCTGCCGAAGCCGCCGCAGCGCCCGCCGGCCCCGAAGCCCCTGGACATGGAGTAGGAGCTGTAGCTGCTCCGGCTGCGGCCGCCCCCGAAGCCCCCGCCCATGGCAGAGCAGGAGCTGAAGCCCCTCCGACTCCCCCCTCCGAAGCTCCTGCAGACGGATTGGCGAGACATCCTGGGTTCTCCTCAAAAGGATCCGAACAAACTGGGAAAGGCTGAGCAGGTGGATGAGGCTGGAAGGAGAAGGGAAGTCGGTCCCTGTGGCTGGAGGGCAGCGGGTGCTCCTTTTATGTGCTCCCGGAGTGGGCTGGGTCTGCATGGGCGTGAGGAGGAGACAGCTCCTGTCTTCATCAGCGTGGCGTGGTCGCAGATTCCCATCTCCAATTTGCCAAACATTGACCCTACCCAGAAACACACCCTCCAACGCGGCAGAAAAGGCACAACAAAGGTCCGACTGGGGCTCCCAACGCTCCCTGACCCGGGAATTCTGAGCCTTGAGGAGCAGCGAAGCCTCCCCGGGATACACCAGGAGTTTTTTTCCCACCTTTCCTCCATCGTGGTTGTTCCCCTGCCCGTGTTTATCTTTCCATCTCTCACTCCAAAGCCCCGTGGCAAGACCTGCAGCCGATGCCAAGTCGCAGCCCGGGCTTTCACAATTCCCAAAACACACCTATGTTACACCCTCAGCCTCCTTTTCACTTGGAAAGCTGCCTTTGGCTCCGGGAATTGGGTTTCTCAACCTCCCAGCCGGGGCTCAGCAAATTGCATTTTGATGAGGCTCCGGGTCTCTTTCTTTTTTTTTTGGGTAAATAAAACCTCCCCGGTGACGAGAGACGTTCCCGGTCGGACCCGAGCGCGTCCCGGAGCCTCCGTGCCAAGATCGTCTCAGCACCGGCTGGGAAATCCCTGCGGGATTCCCTGGAGGCTCCGGGGCCGTGGGGAGACTCCAGGCACAGACGGAGGGATGGCTCTGGGAGGGGAGGAGGGATCCCAAAACCCACATCACACCCCCTGCAAGGGTTGAAGTGCAGTTAATGGGGCTGGTTTGTGGGGTTATGGAGATGAGCAGGGCCGAGGCCACGGGGGGGGAACTTTCCTTGAGGAATCCCAACTCTTTTGGGCCTGTTTTGGTGTTTCTATGAAAATGTATCGATTTTAGAAAGGCAGGGGCTTGTTGGGATCCCCTGGTTCCGATCCCAGGCTGAGGGTGGGTTCAAACTGATCCATCAGAGAATCATGGGATGGGTTGGGTTGGAAGGGACCCTCAAACTCACCTCATTCCAACCCCCTGCCACGGGCAGGGACAACTTCCCCTAGACCAGGTCACTCCAATTCCCGTCCAACCCGACCTGGACAATTCCAGGGATGGGGAATCCACCACCCTTCAGAGAACCAGGGAACGATTTGGGTGGGAAGGAACCTTTGTAAGTCATTGAATCCAAAGATCCATCCCTGATCCACCCTTTTGCCTCGGTTATCGAGTACCAAAGGGCCTCATTTTGCACTTTTTATTGAGAAACTCCCTTTTCTCATTAAGAAACGCCATTTTTTGATTACTTTTCCAAGTTTTAAAGACACGTTGAAGGCCAAAGCCACGGCTCTGGAGGCTCCTCTCCGTGCTGGCAGCCGTCTGGCTCTCGGAATTCCCACAGGACTCCCGGAATCAGGAGCTTCTGGAAAATCCACACCGGCAACTTCTGGAACGGTCGGATGTTCAAACGCCTCTAAAAATATCGCCCAGACACCCGTTCCCAAAAGCGCCTTCGGGACCCGGGCGTGCAGCTGAACCGGCGTTCCCACTGGAAAACACGACATTCCCGGCGCTCATCCCACCCCCAGCACCTGCGGGGGTCCCTGGGGATCCAGGGAAGTGGATTAGGGAGAAATAAGGCTAAAAAAAAAAAAAAGTCAAGGAATCGTAGAATTGTTGAGGTTGGAAAAGACCTCCGTGATCACCAAGCCCAGCTTTTGACCCAAATAAAATAGATACCCTAAATAAAATATATACATATATCAATATCAAAAAATTAAAATGCACGTCAATAACATACATGAATTAAATTTATCAATGAAATTTATGTCAATAAAATAAAATATATCTCAGAAAGTCACTGTGAGAGCGAAGGGACGGGGAGGACGTTGAGCCAAGATGGTCAATGAATAGGCAATAAATCAATAAATAGGCAATACATCAATAAATAGGCCATAAATAAGGGGGTTAAGGCTCAGTGCCCAGCAGGACCCACCTCCCCCGGCGTTACCAAACCCGCGGTTACGTTTTCCTGGGAGATTTTTGGTCGGGGTTTTTTTTCCCCCTTCCCGTGGGCGGGATGACACGATCCCGAAGTTCTCTCCCCAAGTTCCCAGGGGAGAGGCCCCGAGTCAGCAAACGGAGCAGCCCTGGTTTGATAACACGGAGCGTTGAGTCACGGCCGCGGCCCCAGCCAAGTTTGGGAAATCCAGCTGGGAATTGGGGATCGGCAGCACCTCCCGGCTCCGGCGGGATGGGCAGAGCCGGGATGGTTTGGGCGGGAAGGGAGAGGGAAAGATCTCCCTGTTCCACGGCAGGGACACCTTCCACTGTCCCAGGTGAATCCAACCTGACCTTGGGCACTTCCAGGGATGGGGTAGCCACTGGGAAATCCATTCCAGGGCCTCCCCACCCTCCCAGGGAGGAATTAATTCCCAGTATCCCACCTATCCCTGCCCTCTTCCAGCTGGAAACCCCTCACCCCTTGTCCCAAAGTCCCTCTCCAGCTCTTGGAGCCCCCAGGGAAGGAAAATGGCCCCGAAAGGTCACTTCCAAGTCAAACTGTTCCATAATTCCATGAAAATAAACAGGCAGGAATACAGGAAAAGCTGCTCAAACCTGGAGTAATTGAGGGAAAACCACAGAATCCTGGAATCCTTTGGGTTGGGAGGGACCTTAAAGCCCATCCAGTCCCACCCTCTGCCATGGGCCACTATCCCAGGTGGATCCAACCCGGCCTTGGACACTTCCAGGGGTGGGACATGCTCTGGGAAATCCATTCCAGGGCCTCCCCACCCTCCCAGCCAGGAATTCCTTCCCAATATCCCACCTATCCCTGCCCTCCAGCAGTGGGAAGCCATTCCCTGTGTCCTGTCCCTCCATCCCTTGTCCCAAGTCCCTCTCCTGCTCTCTCCAGTGAAGAAAAATGCCCTTGACCGTCCTCTTCCACCCCAAAATGTTCGATGATTCCATGGCAATAAACAGGTGGGAATACAGGAAAAGCTGCTCAAGCCTGGAATAACTGAGGGAAAACCACGGAATCCTGGAATGGTTTGGGTTGGGAGGGACCTTAAAGCTCATCCCCTCCCACCCCCTGTCACGGGCAGGGGACAAACAAAGCCTGAGGAATCCAACCCTCATTTCAGGCCACCTGAAGTGTTTTCCCTCCTCCAACAAAAGCCAGGAATTACGGCACATTTGGGTCCTTTTCCCTCCTCCAGAAAAACACAGGAATTATCACATTTGAGTCCTTTTCCCTCCTCCAACAAAATGCAGGAATTATGTCACATTTGAGTCCTTTTCCCTCCCCCAACATAAAGCAGGAATTATGTCACACTTGGGTCCTTTTCCCTTCACCAGAAAAAGGCAGGAATTCTGTCACATCTGAGTCCTTTTCCCTCCCCCAACAAAAGGCAGGAATTTGGCACCATCTGGATCCAACCCCGGGGGAATTGTCCCCTGATTGCCGGTGCCAGCCCGGGAACAAAAGGAGAGGGATTTGGGGTCTGTTTGTGGCAGGAGTGGCCCTTTGTGCTCCCGAGGGAGGCACCGCTGGAGCCTTGGGATGAGGGTGACCCCGGGTTTGGATCGGAGTGACTCCGGGTTTGGATTGGGGTTGGGGTGACCCCGGGTTTGGATCGGGGTTGGGGTGACCCCGGGTTTGGGTGGGGGTGAATCCAGGTTTGGATCGGGGTTTGGGTGGGGGTGACCCCGTGTTTGGATCGAGGTGACCCCAGATTTGGATCGGGGTGACTCTGGGTTTGCATCAGGGTGACCCCAGGTTTGGATCGAGGTGACCCCGGCTTTGGATAGAAGTGACTCTGGATTTGGGTTGGGGTGACCCCGGGTTTGAGTTGGGGTGACTCTAGATTTGGATCAGGGTGACTCTGGGTTTGGATCAGGGTGTCTCTGGGTTTGGATCAGGGTGACTCTGGGTTTGGATCAGGGTGACTGGGTTTGGATCAGGGTGACTCTGGGTTTGGATTGGGGTTGGGGTGACCCCAGGTTTGTATCAGGGTGACCCTGGGTTTGGGTTGGGGTTTGGGTGGGGGTGACACTGTGTTTGGGTTGAGGTGACCCCAGATTTGAATTGGGGTGACTCTGAGTTTTGGTTAGGGTGACTCCAGATTTGGATCAGGGTGACTCGGGGTTTGGATTGGGGTGACTCCATGTTTGGAGCGGGGTGACCCCGGGTTTGGCTTGGGGTGACTCTGGTTTGGGATCGAGGTGACTCGGGGTTTGGATCGGGGTGACCCCGGGTTTGGCTCGGGGTGACCCCGGGTTTGGCTCGGGGTGACTCTGGTTTGGGATCGAGGTGACTCGGGGTTTGGCTCGGGGTGACTCCAGGTTTGGACCGGCGTGACCCCGGGTTTGGCTCGGGGTGACTCGCAGGGAAGTGAAGCCTTTTCACTCAACACTTCAGGTCACTTTTGCACCTCCCAGCGCGCTCAGCCCTCGCCCAAACGGGTCCCCACCCAGGACAAGCCCGTGCTGGCAGCGCAGGGACATTCCACTGTCACCGCCGGGATATTCATTCCACTGTCACCGCGGGGACATTCCACTGTCACCGCCGGGATATTCATTCCCCTGTCACTGCCCGGCCTCGGCTGCTCCAACCTTTACAAACCGGGAACAGGAGACTCGGGATGAGTCACCCCCGGCACCGTCTGCGGTTGACCGGGGATGTGATTCAAGGTCTCCCGGGCCGGAGGTCAAACCACAGCAGGGATTTTGGGAGGGAGATTTATCCAAACGTTCCGCTTTTCTGGGGAGAGTTGGGGTTGATGAGGGGGAGGAGGGAGCTCTTGCTCTTCCCAGGGTTTCAGTTGCCTTTTGGGGAGTCATTAAGAGCGATCCATGGATCCCTGGGGAGGCCAGACCGCAGGAAAAGCTGCTCCAGAGTCGTGGATAGCGAGGAATCAGC